GAATTACCCATGAATCACTTGAATTACATGTTCATCCCAGAACATCAATGAGGCAAAGAAGTCAGGAAGAAGTTGTTATTCAGTAAGGAGTTGTGAAAAGGATGCAGAGGAAGGAAATCCACACTGTCTGCTGCAGCATTCTTATAGCTTTCAGTACACCAAGAACACAGACACATCAGAAAAATGCAGGGGGGAATAGATTTTTTTCAAAAAAAAGAAAATTTGCCACAGTATCAAATTTCTTATCAGTAAATTGCAAGCACCAAGGAAAAATACCTTCAATGAACTAAGAAAAAACTACTTTCAATTAAAAAATTTTAATATTACCAATTTAACAATTAAATGTGATAACAGAACAGAAATGGTTTTAAAATGTAAGATTTTACTGTATCTTACATAATGAAGCTTCTTAAAGGTGTTTACATTGATTTGGGTGAGTTAACGGAGAAGACGACTTCAGATCCATGAAGCAGCAGCTTCAATCCAGGAGAGAAAGAAACAACACATCAATGTTTACATATATTTACATAAAGGTACGGTGCTTGTACGTGCTCCAATAAATATTGTACTGCTCAACTGACTAAAAATGAAACTCAATTTTTAAATCTGAAGATTTTAAAGTTGAAAATTACTCTATTTTCAAGATATAACACAGGTTATCTATATGCCAAACTAACGCAGATGAAAACAGAAGTGGTATTTCAATATTAAGCTTTAAAGATAAAAAGAAGGATTAGTTATAGAAAAACCAGATGATTTTATAAATAGTTCAGAATGTATTTTCTGGCTTTCACAGCTGCAAGACAATACATTTGGAACTCTGAATGCCTCCAAAATCTCCCATTTGTCATCAATTAGTAAATTTAATTCTCTGGAAAAAGGAACATCTCTTATTTAAAATAAGCTCCAGTATGTGAAGATAAAAAAACCTACAAAAACAAGACTCTTACTTAAATAGCCACAAAATTGTAACCTGCTATAAATAAAGGTCTAAAAAGAAAATGAATCTAAATGTTTTCAATGTTCCATTAATATTCAAAGGATTTTTTTAAAATGCAGTTCTATCTTTTTCTTAGAACGAATGAAGACTAACTTGGAAGAATTATAGCTCTTCTGGATTCCTTTTTTTCCCATAATTACTCAATTATTCATTAGAATATGTAAGTACTCTATTGGAATCTTTGCACCAGTGTTTCATAAATGGATTTAACTATAAAAGCCTGGTTATACAATTTCTTCCATAAAAGCATTATATTTCCGATATTTATGTCTTTAAAATATCCTATAGTAAAATTAATATTTCTACACAGGAAAAGAGAGACCTATTTAGTCCCAGACAACTTGATAACATCTCTTTCAACTATAGTTATAATTATCATGTACGAACTTCCAAAGCAGAAGTTGTCAGGATTTAACATTAGCATTAATTTATGTCATAACTGACGGTTACTATAAAGATAATGGCAAAGCATCCATTTCTCCCAAGACAGCATGGATTGAAAGGGAAATTTCTTCTTAATTACTACTAATCTGTCCATTTTTAATTAAATTGATTAGTAATTTATTATCTTTCCCTTTCTTGGAAGGTTGTTATTATCACAGAGCTTCTCCAAAGTTATCAAGTTTGAGATTTTTAAGAAACTCAGTTCTGTACAGTGAAAATCTAATATAAAACCTAACAGTGTGTAACACTAGTTTACGTTAAAATCTTAATATTCAAATTCTTTGTACTTAGAAAATAGAAAACCCAAGATTGGCACACAATAAATGGACTGCTATAAGGACAGTAGCTGTAATTTATAAAAAGACAATAATAAACTGCATTCTTTTCCTTTATTGGATAACCCAAGTAGTGGTTACTAGCAAGTATCTTCATAAAGGAAGAAACTAAGTCCTTACGATTTCTTTTAAAAGTATCTATTTCTTATTCTATCCATAACTAACAGTAAATTATACAACTATCCCAAGTATCTTCTGTCTTATTTTCTTCAAAGCAATCAAGTGATTCTCTCATACAAATAAGAAATACTTTCATCAAACTATGAAAAATTCAAATGCCTCATGTACTGTTTGAATTAAAATCTTTAACTTAGTAAACACTGATCAGTATTAAATTTATAATTTAGTAACACTGAAGTATGAATTAACAATTTTCCAAATATCTGTATTTCCAAATGACTTCTGAAAAGGTTAAATTTCAAGAGTAAGAAAATGAAATGAAATGTCTCTTAACAAAATCTGAAATAGAAATTTCCTTTTCTTTCTTGGGTGAAAAATGTAAAGACTTCTAAGAAATATTGGGCTATGATCCAGAGGCATCAAGGGTTTACTGTTCAAAATGGCTTTTCTAATCATTGAGTTTGACTTTGCCACATGGCTATAAGGGAACATACAAACAGGGTGTATTAATCTGTTCACAAGGGGAATGGTTAGTCTTGCCATTTACTAGCTTTAAACTGAGTAGGTTTAGTGGCAGAATCAGGACTCTCAATGCAAGGAAAAGGCAGCAGAGAATGCAGCGTACATTCTTTGGGGCCAGAGATTTCCTGTGCCAACCAGACCAGGATCTATACAAGAGCAACCACAGCCTCAACAGAGAACCAACATAAGATAGAGCTGTCCTGGGACTGCTGCCCACAGAACCAGAGTCAGAGGCCTTCACCCAAGCTCCCTGGTGGACTAAGGAAAGATGTCTTAATTGGCAGGACTAATGGAATTTTGTGACACTGACCTAAGCCATAAGGCCTGAGAAGCTGTTTGGAGTGAGGGACAGCATACTGATGCCAACTTGGTCTACAACCTATTAAACTACCTAACAAACCACCATTCCTTGCATATGGTTCTATAAAGTCTGTTTGGTCATTACAATGGATTTCAGACCCAGAAGAATAAGACTGGTGCTGGAATTCATAGAAGCAGGTACAAGAGCCTGGAACACAATACATGACCTCACAGGAATAAGTTAATATTGCGTATGTTGCTCATGGAGACAGTTCTTCTTTTTTGGTTTCAGCAGAAGTCAGATTTGGTAATTCCTTTGCTGCTACACTCATTTTACATTTGCCTATTCTATCAGATACTTCTTTTATAAATTGATATTGACTAATAGGACAAAAATTCCTATTTAAGAAGAATGTTAACTGCATTCAAATAGCTGGTTATCAATACAAATGAATATACAAGTGCTTAATATAAAGTCTTATCTATTAATTAATATTTACTTCCTGTTGCTGTTATGTGCTGTGGAAGCCGAACAGACTCATAGCCGACCCTCCAGGAGTAGGTTTGCAGAGGATTTAAATTACACAGGAGGAGACTGGCCATCTTTCTCCCACGGAGCAGCTGATGGATTCAAATAAGATGCTTTGGGGTTGGGAATGCGATTCTACCACTAGGTCAGCAGAGGCCCTTGGAGAATTTACTTCTTATTTTATGCCAAGTTAGACAACCTATGGTGGACTCTCCGGTGGATTTTCAGTGGCAGTAAATCACACAGGAAGAGAGTGCTCATCCCTCTCTCACAGAGCAGCTGGTAGATTCAAACCATGTGCCTTTGGGACTGCAGCACAACTTCTCACCACTAGGCCACCAGAGTTCCTTTGTTGTCATTGTTAGGTGCCATCGAGTCAAGTATAACTCATAGCAACCCTATGAACAGCTGACCTGACTCCTGCCCTATCCTGTGCCATCTTTATCATCTCTGACACCTAGAACCCATTGCTGAAGTCACCATGTAAATTCATCTCATTGGGGGTCTTCCTCTCCTTTGCTGACCTTCCATTTTTCCAAGCATGATTTCCCTTTCTAAGGAAAAACCTTGCGTAGCTACATGTATGAGAGCATGATAGATGAATCTTTGGTATCTTTGCTTCTAAGGAGCACTCCGGCTGTACTTTTCCCAAGATATATTTGTTTGTTCTTTTGGCAGTTCATGAGATATTTAGTATTTTTCTCCAGCACCACAATTCAAAGGCATTCAAAGCTTCTTCTGTCATCCTTACTCATTGTTCAGCTCTCTGATTTGTCACAGGTGACTGAGAAGACCATGGCCTGAATCAGGTGCATCTTGTTGTTGTTGTGTGCCATTGAGTTACCTCTAACTCATAACCACACTATGTATAGCTCTGAAGCCTGCCCTGCCCTGAGCCAGTATCATTGACTCCAACACACCAATTGTCCCATTGCTCCAGTTACTGTATCAATCCATCTCAGCCGGGGTCTTACCCTTCTGCACTGTCCTTCCACCCTTCTGAGCATCATGTCCTTCTCCAAGGATCAGACCCCTGGCCATATGCCCAAAGTATGTGAAAAGGAGCTTCAAAATCCTAGCCTCCAGTACTTATTAAATCAAGAAACTCTATACTTTCACTTCTAATTTTCAATGAGTGCAAAATGGTTGCCAAACTCTAACATGTGATTTAAGCATTGAATTCATACTACTCCCATAGAAATCTCCCTTTTTCTTTAGATCTGTTCCTTTTCTGTAAAGTTTCATGTGACTGCTACATTGAACACAATCCCTGAAGCTACCTCTTGCCATCTTTTCACTTTGCTTTACTCTTCCTTATCAAATCCTCACTACCAAGTATCCTATTAGTTTTGTTATTGTATGTCTCCTTTCACTAGAAAGTAAGCTCCGTCTGAACTGTCCATTCCCCAGTCTCTAATACAAACATTCAGTTGGCATTCAGAAAGTATTAGTCAGAACATGACTGAATGATCATCACATCCAATATACTAAAGCAACAAAAAACCCTCCCAAACATAAAAAAAAAACAATCAAACTTAGTTAAATATTACAAAACCAAACGCGGAATTATATCAAAGGTCTTATTTCTATATACCATGGACTATAACAACATAGTAACAATTTTCTCAAACAAAAAGAAAAATGGACAAAATATCCTTTCAAAGAAGAGTCAGACTATTAACAATTGGAAATGCATCACATTCTATTCCCCACATTAAATTCAGAACATGTAATTAGTCACTCTGCATACCTTAACAAGTTTCAAAAGCTCATAAAGATCTTCGACTTCATCACCTTCACATTCAGTGTACACTAGTCCAGTATCCACGCTCCTTCCTTGTATGGTTCGTCGATAGAGAGGAAGGCCCATAGCTTCTGAATACAGGTCAATGGCATGATGACCCACTGTCTGATACATGTAGCTGTCCAGTTCATCTGACCCAGCTGCAATGAGTAAGATGAAAATTATCAATAAAAGCGGAAATGAACTTGAAAGCCCTCCTAAGTTTTACTGCTTGGACAGTATCATTCATCATATCAATTAACTTAAAATGTGATTAATATGCCTTCCTGCATTTCTGTACTGAAATAAGATATAAAATTTGTCTATTTGTTGATAGTTGTACCGAGTCTATATCAACTCTACTCATCACTAATGCTAATCATAAACATAATAATACAGAATTTTTTAAAAAATTATATATAATGAATATTTAAAGAACTAATATAGTCAATAACTAACTACATGTTGATAAATATTTTGACATGTATATTCTCTATTAAAGATTTTATTTTTGTTGTTTTCAGACCTGTCAATTCAGACTCATGGTAATCTCATGTGTAGAGTGTACAACTCTGAAGTTTTAAAGGCTATGACCTCTGGAAATATATTGCCAGGCCTGTGTTCCATGGTGCTTTTGAATGAGTTCAAACTGGGTAAGCAGTTTAATACATGCATTTATTTTCAGATCACTAAAAATTATTTATAAACTCACTGATATTTAAAGAAAAACTCAAATATATACTTAACAAATAACAAATATTTATTAAAATAAAATATAGATACTCTAAATATAATTTCTAATCAGTACTTCAACAGAACACATTGGTACTGTACTTCAACAGAACATATTGTTATTGCTGGTAGCTGTCAAGTAAATTCTGATTCATAGCAATCCTGTGTTTGTCAGAGAAGACCTGTATCTAAGACTTTTTGATGCTGTAATTCCACTTTTTAGAAGCAGGGAAAGGAAAGTGCATAAATAATCTTTACAAAGATATTCAATGCAGAATGGGTGTAATAGCTATAAAATGACACTGTTGTTAGGTGCCATCAAGTTGACTGCGACTCACAGTAGCACTGTGAAAAACAGATTGCAGCCTTGCCCTATCCTATGCTACCCTATCCTCGCCCTGACCATCTCCACTACTCAAGTTGATTGTTGAAGTCACAATGTCAATCCAGCCTGTTGAGATTCTTCCTCTCTCACTGATCTGCTCTTCCAGCATGAAATTCTTTAAAAAAGTGACTTGTCCCAATATCAGGCCCAAAGTATCGATGATGACCTTAATCTTTAAACTAACATCTAAAATTTTAATCTGTTGTTTCTAGAGTCACCACAAATCATAGTCAGTAGGACAGCACTTTATAAAATCTTCTGTTCCAGTAGAAATTAGAAATGTAGCCCAAGGGAGCTCTGGTGACCTAGTGACAAGAAGCTGAACTGCAATCCTAGAGGTACGCGATTCGAATCCACCAGAAGCTCTGCTGTAGAAGGAGGGGCAATTTCCTCCTGTACCAGTCAGATCCGATTTGACGATAGACACACAAAAAACAGAAAAATTTAAAAAATCATTTAAAAAAGAAATGTAGCCCAAATCACCTAATACCCTTTAAGTCTGTTCTCATTTCAAAGTAGAATGAATCTTAAAATGTATTTGTTTTAAAGGATACTGACACAACCAGATCAATATTCAATGATTTTTGAGCTTCTTAACATAAAATGCCCTGATGTTAGTATGTTGTTATGTACCACTGAGTCAGAACCAACCCACAGCTGACCCTCTCTGGAGGGTTTCCAGAGGCAGTTAATAGCACAAAAGAGATTGCCCATCCTTCTCCCACCTCAGAGCAGCTGACAGATTTGAACTGTGTGCCTTCAGGATTGCAGAACAGCTTCTTGTCACTAGGCCACCAGTGCTCTAACTTAAAAGATAAATTTTTTTTAAGGTTCCATTTAATCTTAACTACAATGTAGTTTTTATTAAAGGAATTTATATGGCAATAATTATAAGAGACCAAATAAAAACAAAAGGCTCCAATATTAGCTTAAAAAGATTAATTAATATGCCACAAAAGTTCCTATTACAAATTTAAAGAAACAGTTTATAAACTTTAAGACAAATTAACATTATCTTCAATGAGGGAGATGAATTCTCTGTCAGAATACCCACTGAAGGACATTTGCTGGGAATTTATTCAACTCTGCTCTATACCGTAGTTCTTTGTCAGACATTTCTTAATATGATTCTCTTTATCAATCAATTAGTCATTAATAAACACCAATTTCCTCCCCATTTCCCAACCCACAACCATCAATTCTCTTCTACTAGAAATATACTTTCAGCAGATATTGTTCCATCTTTTTATCTTGATAATATTTTCAGTCCATTTACTACTGAATTTTATCTCACTAACAATACTCTAAATAAGTGTCTCCATTCTACTGTGAAGTATAATTTAAAGATATACTTTGCTTGTCATCTCGCCCACCCTGCCAATGAACCATGAGCACATGGGAAATTATACATTAATGTGCAGGGGAACTGTAATTATTCACATTACAAAAGTGAAAGACAAGATAGGAGTTCTAACAAGGAAAATTAAGATTATATTATATATGTATTATATTTAAAACATCTGTTTTCCAAGTAAATTCTGGTGGCTTAGTGGTAAAGAGCTGTGCTGTCAATTGAAAACATGTGGTTCAAATCCACCAGTTGCGCCACAGGAGAAAAAAGAGCAATCTCCTTCCATGACATTTACTGCCTCTGAAAACCTGCTAGAGGATCAGCTATGAATGGGTTCCAAATCAATGGTACATAACAACAACAAGAAGACATTTTAAGATAAAAGGCTAAAAACATACTTACCTGACTGGCCAAAAGGAATACAGGAATTTCTTGCCTTTGTCTACAGAGGATTAACCTGAATGGACACTCTGCTTTTTATGTTATAATATTGAAAGTATATGGACTGGAGGTAGACTCATAAACAATCTGCATTACGCAGATGACAGAACCCTAACTGCTGAAACTGAGGAGGACCTGAAGTGCTTGCTGAAGAAGGTCAAGGACAGAAGTTCAACATCAAGAAAACAAACTTTCTCACCACTGGGCAGATTGGCAGCATCATTATAGATGGTGAAGAGATTGAGATTGTTGACAGCTTCAGTTTGCTAGGCTCTACAACCAACACTCTTGGTACTAGCAGCCAGGAATTAAAAGACGAATTGCATTGGGAAAGTGTGCTGTTAAAGACCTCTAAAAAGTACTGAAGTAACGTCTAGAGACTAAGATGTGCCTGATATAGGAATGGTCTTTGCAATTATTTGCTATGCATCAGAGAGCTGAACAATGACTAGGGATGGTAGGAGAGTTAATGCCTTTGAGCTGTGGTGCTGGAGAAGAATATTGAATATACCATGGACTGCTAGGTGAGCAAACAAGTTCGTCCTGGAGAGGGTGAAGCCAGGCTTCTCCTTGGAGGCAAGGATTCAGAAGCTTCGTCTGACACATTTTGGACATGCAGCAAGGTGGGATCAGTCCCTGAAGAGGGACGTCATGCTTGGGAAGGTGGAGGGACGGCGCAAGAAGGGAAGACCCTCTATGAGATGGATTGATTCTGTGACTGGGGTAATCGGGATGGGAGTGTCAGAGACTATCCTGTGCGATTGGCACAGGATAGAGCAGGATTTAGAGCTGTTGTACATAGGGTCGCTATGAGTCACAGGCGACTTGACAGAATGGAACATAAAACAACAGTCTTAGCACTTAAAGTATGTCCTAACTATTTTACCTTGGACTAAGTTATTAAACCTTCAAAGTCTCAAGATCCATACCTATAAAAGGAAGATTAGTAATTTCTCTTTTGAAGGGCTATTCCTAGGACTAACAGATAGATATATAGGGAAAATATAGCATAGAATGTAGCATCTGTTATTAGAAAGTACCTTCAAATCAGAACTGACCCCTAGCTGACTCTCCAGCAGCTTTTCAGAAGCAGTTAATCTCACAGGAGACTGTTCTTTCTCCCAGAGCATCTGGGGGATTCAAACCATGTGCCTTTCAAATTGTAGTACAACTTTTTACCACTTGGCTACCAGAGCTCCCTGTTTTTGTTGTGTACCATCAAGTCAGAACCGACCCATAGCTGACCCTCGAATGGGTTTTCAGAGGAAGTATTCACAGAGGAGATTGCCTATCCTCCCGTGGAGCAGCTGGCAGTATTGAACAGCAGTGCCTTTGGGACTGAGAGCAGATTCTTACCCTTAGGTCACCAGAACTCCCTAGTAGGTGCTAAATAAATATTAGTTTCCCTTTTTTTTCACTTTTACATATGACATATGATATGCATGCAATTATTAAACTGTAGTTTATGTCACTTAGAGAATGTCATGCACTTACCTTGACTTTCAGCTGGTCTTAGATTTGCTAAAGCAATAATCTGATGCCCAGCAGCAATGCACTGCATCATATTATAACAGCTGTCTTTTCCACCACTAAAAGATAAACAAGTATCAGATTACTATTATTCAACATAAATTCAGTAGATAAAAAAACCCACATAATCTCATCAGCTTTTCAGACAACTGAGGGACTGCTTTGTAGTCAGAATGCAACAAACACATGCATAGTTTCTAAACCATAAGAAAGCTGAGCAAATGAACCTAAACATCTAAGATTATCACTTACAATGCATGTACAGTTATAAAGAAAAGACCATTCTAAACAAAATACAACAACTTGGCTTGTGATTCTGCCTTTACTAAATGCACCTTTACTTTACTTAGTGAATTTACTTAATATACAACAAACACATATAAACCAAATAAACCAAACCATCTGCCAAGGAGTCAATTCTAACTCATGGCAGTCTTCATTAGGGTCCCAAGCTGTAAATCTTTACAAGAGGATATTGCTTTATCTTTCGGCCTTGGAGGATCTGAGAGATTCAAACCACCAATCTTTTGGTGTGCAATCTAGTAAGTACTGTACTATGCCACTAGGGCTCCTTACACACGTTAACACACTCCTGTAATACACACGTGAAAAATGACTGGATTTTACATTCCAGTTAAATACTTATTATTTATATTCACTAGATAAAACACTCCATGAAAAGGTAAACAAGCATGTACTGCTTTCCACTTATACTAATTTAACCAGTGGCTGCCATCACCATGAAGGAATCAAGTGAAAGATTGTAAACTCACTCTGACAAGAGTTTGAGCCACTCTGTGGAATTCAACTTCTGAATAAAAAGAAATGCTGACTCACACTGATAAAGCTAATTGTCAGTGTTTCCCTATCACCTTACATATATGTATGCATAATGACAGAAAGTAGACTTAAGCCAAAAAATAAAAAAAGAAAAAAAAAAGTAGACTTAAGCCATATATCTAATAGACTCAACCAAAACCAAACTACCTGTATATCTCTCTCATAGGAAATTGCCCATCTTTCTCTTGTAGAGTCATTGGAAGATTCAAAACTGTTTGAAGCTGATGGCCTTTTGGTTAGCTGTGCACTCTACTAACCATTATGCCTCAAAGCTCCTTAATCATGAAAAGATTAAAGGAACTTCTAAATTCTGGCTCCAAATCTACATATGGAAGGAGCAAATCACTTAGGCAGAAAGTAGTCCATTTATTAACAAGGCTGAGCTGAGTGGTTATCTCTTGAGATTTTGTTATAACATTCTATTTCCCTAAAGAAATGTTTCTTACTTTCTTTTATCATTTCCTTTGTCCATTTTATATTTGCTTTTCACTTCTTTCAACACTTTGCTTAAAATCTGCAAACTTACGCTTACCCAATCAATGTCTAGCTATTTGTAGCCCAAGAAACTAAAAGAAACCAATGACTTTAAAAGCTGTATGTTTGCCTTTTGTTTTAGTTCTCAATTTGTCTGTCTCTACCAATCTCAGTAGTAACAACTTTCATTCCAGTACTTTTCAAGGGGAATGATATCATGCAAAGGCAAAGTGAAGCCTGAAATAGTTCATCCTTTCTCTTCTCAGATTCTGATATTTCCTTAAGAAAGTCTAACTTTTCCTACTAATTCAACTACTCTATTTGCCATGGTAGCACTGCAGGCTAAATATTGGACTGTTAATCAAAAGACTGGTAGTTTGAGCCCACCAGTTATTTCATGGTAGGTGTGGCTGTCTCTTCCCATTGAGATTCAGAAACCTAGTGGAGGGCCACCGTACATCAGAATAGACTTGACAGCAATGGGATTTCCCCCCTTCCCCTTTTTCCCTGGCAGCAAAAGATTTGATTTACTCTTAAGACTATTTAAGATAAAAAGGTATACATCAACAATTAGAAATTAGTTTCACAATTTCTTTAAAAATACGCCAATATTTCAAGTATGTTTCAGAGTAGGATTTTCTAAATTGTGCTCTGTGGAAGACTTGTGCCAATTAAAACTATAATCAAGCACTTCAAGAAGTCTTCCAAAGTCATGTAAGTTTGGGAAATGTTGTATATCACTCTTCTTGGAACTTTAAACATATATTAGCATATATTATGACTGGAGAGCATTATGCTGAGTGAACTAACTAAGTCTCATACGGTCAAATCCTTCTCCTGCAGAGCAGCTGGTGGCCTCAAACAGCATGCATTCATGATTCCAGTGCAAATTTTTGCCACTAGGACACCAGAGCTCCCTTCTTTCGACTGTGGGTATCATAATAAATTCTGGGTAACATTGAGATGACTGTAAATTCTAGAATACTTGTTTCTAGAAGATTTTCAGTCTGTATACAGTTGTTTAAAAAGAACAAGAGGATACTGTGTGGCTTAAAAGGTGTGCATTAGGACCCTGTATGCTGAGTAAATAATCTTCAAAGCTGAACTATATGAAGAGGAATGTGCAATCAGGTTTGAAGAAAGACTCATCAACAACCTGTGAGGTGCAGAGGATGCAACTCTGTTGAATGTTAAGATCTGAAGCACTTATTAATGAAGCTCACCCTGAGCCTTCAGTATGGATCACACCACAACATAAAGGAAAGAAAAGTCTTTACACCTGGACAAACAGACAAGACCATAATAAACAGAGAAAAGATCAAAACTGTTAATTATTTCACTGTATTAGGTCAACAATTAATATCCATGTCTGTAGTAGTGAAGAAATCAAACAAGAATTGGGTAAATCACTTACCAACTACCACTTCAAAGCGCTAAAAGAGCAAGAATGTAATTGTAAAAACTAGAGTGTGCTTGACTAGAGTGTGCTTGACTCAAGCTATGGTGTTTTCCATTAACTCAGATGCAATTTGAAAGTTAAACAATGAAAATGAAAGACTCAAAGAATGGATGTCTTTGAAGTACGGTGTTGGTGAAAATGATTGAATATATACCACTTACTGACTCTTGGTACGAGCAGCCAGGAAATCAAAAGACAAACTACACTGGGAAAATCTGCTGTCAGGGACCTCTCCAGAGTATTGAAGATACAATGTCAGTCTAGAGACTAATGTGTCCCTGACTGATTCGGGACATGGTCTTTGCAAATTACTTGCTAGTTACTGAAAGCTGGACGTTGACTAAGAATGACAGAAGTAAAATTGATGCCTTTGAGCTGTGGTTTTAGAGAAGAGTACTGAATATACTACGGACTGCTAGGAGAACAAACAGGTTTGTCCTGGAGAGGGTGAAACCAAGCTGCTCCTTGCAGGCAAGGATTCTAAAGCTCCGCCTGACATACTTTGGGCATGCTGCAAGAAGAGGAACATCATGCTTGGAAGGGTGAAAGGACAGCATAAGAGAGGAAGACCCTGGATGAGGTGGACTTACTCAGTGACTGGGTGTCAGGGGGTAGGTGTGTCAGAGACAATGAGGCTGACTCAAGACTGAGCAGAGGATTCAGAGCTATTGTTGTTCATAGTATTAGTATGAGACGCAAGTGACTCGACATCACCTAACAACATCAATGCGAAGAATAATTTGTCTTCTAAGACTTGCAGCCAGAATGCTCCTTAAAAGCAATGGTGACAATACTTTGGGCATGTTATCAGGATGAGCCAGTCACTAAAGAAGCATATGCTCGGAGAAGCAGAGAGTCATTGAAAAATGGGAAGATGCTCAAGAAAATGGACTGGCACAGTGACTTAAACAAGCAATTGTCTGGATGGCACACATTTGAGCAGTATTTCATTCTGCGGTACAAAGGGGTTGCTAAAATGGGAACTGACGTAGTAGCCCCTCACAACAAATCATCGAATGGACCTAACGCATCTCAGATTGAAAAACAAGAGTAACTGCAATAGAGGATCCAAGGATATTTTATCTCACTGTTCTGAAATACTCATATGACTTTGTTTTTTTTTTTTTGTTTTTTTTTTTATATGACTTTGTTTTGTAGTGTGTTAAAAAGAAAATAAAGTATGCAAAAAGACAGGCTAAAGGGTAAAGTCATATTCAAAATATAATAAATGTTATGAAAACTTCAACACCTACATCTAGCCTGCCTGGAATTAAAAAGCCTAACAAAACTATCATTCATTCACTATCCGCATCCCAAACTTCCATTTAAATCTCTTTAAGAGTTCCTATATCCTCACCAGGGAACTCTGGATGCCTAGTGGTAGAAAACTGTTCTGCAATACCAAAGACACATTGTTTTGATCCACCAACTACTCTGCAGAAGGACGGGCAATCTAAATGCCTCTGAAAACCGTCTGATTCGATAGCACACAATAACAACAGCATACCCCCATAGAGAGTTCTGGTAGCCTAACAGGTAAGGATTTGTATTGGTAAAACAAAAGTACTATTATTAATCCACCAGTTTCTTCCCAGAAGACCATCTCCTCCTCTGCAGTTTACTGCCTCTGAAAACTCACTGGAAGATCAGCTAGGAGTCACTTCTGACCTAACAACAACATATCTTTTTTTTTTAAAGTAAGAGCCCAGGCTTGTAGGATCACATATATGTGAATAGCACACCCAGGATAGTAATGCATAACAGGGCTATACAGTTGGCAAAAATGAACAATGTCTATTATTTGTATAAAAATATTCCACAAACCACATATGTATATAAATTACCAACTTCCGAGTCTATTTTTAATTCCAGATTAAATGACAATCACTATGGTTAAATTTTAATTATTCCTTTTACAGGATTAATTTACAAAATAATATTATGATGATATTAGAGTATGGAAAGGGCACTGAAGTAAAAGTGGAATATCCTAGTAATTATAGTAGAGACTTTGGGGGGGCATAGTCCAAAGAGAGTTATGCTACTAACTCAAAGGCCACATCTCTCAAGTGGTTCAAATTCACCAATAACTCAGCAGGAGATATCAACGGATAGTCAGACATGAGGGGGTTGTGACTCTATGGGTGTATAAGTAACATAAGTGATTGAACATTATGTCAAGGGTACTGAAACAGATCAATAAATTAGTTACACAGGGCATTAAGACCTCACTACAAGAAGACAAAGATTCTCACCACTGGACCAATTGGCAGCATCAGGATGGATGGTGAAGAGATCGAGATTGTACACAGCTTTAGTTTGCTTGGCTCCATAGTCAACAGTCTTGGCACCAGCAGCCAGGAAATTAAAAGGCGCATTGCCATGGGAAAGTCTGC